CAGGCTGATTTTTTAAAAGGAGAAGAATAATAATAAAAACCCCAAACCACTAAATCCCTCTCAAATCTTTATCCTCATTTTAAAAGGCACAGCTAACAAGACAGAAGAATGCAGCACTGCCCCCCCAAAAAAGCACTGATTATTTCCAAGAGCAGAGACAGTGTGTGCCCCCTGCGACACACGACAAACTTTTTCTTAGACACCAGAATAAATTTGAACAGGTCAACTCAGGCAGAAATTATCTTGGTGGGTTGGAAAGGAGCAATGAAATTAACGTAATTTTAATTTCTTATTCAGAATTATATTAGAAATTTAAAAACTGCAAAATTATCTTGGTGCTGCCAGGATAAAAACTTTTATTAAGGACATCTGGGAACCCTAAGGTGGACTTTTTTCTCATGCCTATATGAAATGCAAATGCTCGTCTTTCTTTTGAACTTCTCTCTCCTTAAGGGTGGATTTTAATTCTCCTGCCATGCCTCCAATATGCTTACAATATATTATGCAATTTATTTGTAGCACAGTCAATGTGCTAAAATGAAAATATAAGAATTAATTAATTTATACCTTTCAAGGCCAGCAAGAGAATACCACTTACTAGGGCTAGATTACTTCCAAAACTGCCTTCTGTCCATTAAACCAGTGAAAGTTATTAATCTGAGTTTAACTCCAGTTTTGAATATCCTTAAATCTCAAAAAAAGTATCCATTTCATCCACATTCACACAAGCCCAGAGAGAAGTGCTCCTTCTTGGCCCCCTGCACTCTTTAAAGAGAACACTCCCTGTGAATTGACAGGAAAAGAGCATTCTACAAAAGAAAGCAGTGAAATAGTTCAAAAATATTTTCAAGATATGAGTAAAATAATCATTATGGTATAAGGCAAATTCATTTGATGGAAGCTGGCAAGTGATGTGCTACAAAAGACTGTTTAAATCTTAATGTCCATGTCAAAACTTGCACAGTGACAGTTCTGCTTTCAAATTTCAACTGTAAAAGAGTGAAACCATCTTAGTGTCATTAATTAATGTATTTTTCTTCTACTTTTGAGATACTTGAAGATTTACCATGTAGACTAGAGAGGTATGGTATTTATTGATTCCAAACTGAGGAGGCTGTAGCTAACGATGTTCTGAAAAGTCAAACAGCGATTCCAATTTCTTAAAAGCCGTGCGTGATAAGGTTGTAATTACTCAGCAGAATACATACTGCCAGTCTCACTGTCTTTAACATAAAAATATCATCCTTCAAAGACATAGGGCTATTTGTTCTAACAAGGACATGCAACCTCCATTCTACGCTTTTCTAACCAGGGTGCATGAACTCTACATGAGTCTTCTGCTCAGCAATACGTATCATGCCAACCAAAAAACCACCTCCCCCACAAAAAAAAAAATTATGCCCATTAAAACAAATAACATCATCAGACTGTAAGAACAGAGATCTGAAGAACTTTTATAGTCACTCCTGAAAAACAGTCGAGCTCAAATTTCTGAAGCAGATAAGATATAAGAATAATGTTTTCTATTAAGAAACACTTGTATCTTAATCACAGTGTAGTACATCATAGGCTGGAAAATCTGTCAGTTCATTTTGTCATGAAAATGGGCAAGTGTTTAATTCACCTCCATCATCTCTCAGGTAGCCACGTCTCCCAGGTTTAAAGACAAAACCAGCACTAAAACCAGAAACTTGATCCATCTTCTATTTACAAGTGAGACGTTCCTCATTAGCGGGTAACGAAAGTCTTCTTGAGCCACGCATTATGTTTGGTTTTCTTAAAATAGTGTTAGTCAAGAGAAATAACAAAACCACAAAACAATGATTTAAACATTTTGCGACCCTGAGCTTAAGTCCCAAGTGTGAAAAAAAATCTGACATTATTAGTGTTCGAGCGCCTCACTGCAAGTTGCATATTGTTTTATCATATTCTCAAAGGCACGTCACCTACATGCTCTGCGAGTGACAAACCAAACTGAAGCGTGCCAACACACCACCATCTCTGCACGAACAGAAACAGCCCTGCACAACAGCAAATCTCTCAAATTTCCGAAAAAAAAGGTACTCGACCCCACTGACGGCCACGCCGTTGGTCACTATAATGCAAAGAAATAGGCAACAAATTCAAATATATTACAAAAATTTCAGCTCAGAGGTATGAGTTGTCACTTGCTTGGCTAAAAGTGACTAAAACTGTCAAAGGGAAGCACTGTCTTTTAAACTGTGTACCCTGAGCTCTACCTCTTCCTCCTCTCTTCAATAAACAGAAAATAGCTATTGTATGCTCAAGAGACACAACAGGGCAAAGACAAAAACATCCAGATGGACTGCACTGTTGAGATATCAACTAATTTCCCAGTGATAAAAGCCTAAATTCAGCTTAAAGGACACTTTCAGAAGTCCATAATTCAAGATTTGGTTGGGAGCACAAGGTGGGTGACAGTGACTTTTGATGTGCACAGCAATACAAATTAGGCCATCTAAGAAGTATCTGACCTGTGTAAATAGGAGAGTCAATAATTCAGGCAGGCATGACAATACAAAACAAATATTCACCACACCTTTATCCAGAAAGATAAGCTAGTCTGAGATAATACACTGAACAAACAAGCTCACACAGCTAATGCCTGCAGTAAGGATAAGGCACTGCCCATAGGACTAGCAGTTGAAACTTCTCCAGAAAAGATGCTGTCCTTTAAACTGCTTGTCAGAATGCTGACCTCCAGATTGTGTGGGAATCCTGTTGAATTTCCTCCTTTAAAAACGAAATGTTAAAAAGTTCAGTAAAAGTTTGCCTTAGGCTGCAGAAAAAAAAAAAAAAGAGAATTTAGTCCCACTTTCTAGAAACATTCAAACCAAACCCAAAGTTGGTATAATTTGTCTTTGCTCTTTTGAAGGAAGCATTTTAACAGCACAAATCAACCCCTTAACTTACTAAACACAGCAAGGCTGATACAAAACATGATGCTTGGTTTGCCAACCTTAGCAGGAGTAGTAAACACACGTGAACACATTCCTCAGTGTTGTGCAAACTCTGCAGAACCTGTGCACGCCAATGCAAATTGGTTAAGCAGGAGTGAGAAGCCACAGCAAATCTCGACCTTGAACTTCCTGCCTTTTGCAACGCTCGTTTTCCCTTTTTTTTTTTTTTCCCTGAAATTTGTGCTTTGTAAGATACCACATTGCGACACTTTTAGACCAGTATGTCAGCTTTTGATATGTTTGTCCCAGATAGCGAGGAGAATCTGTTGACACCATGTCACATTAGGACAGACTGTTAAGTGGGTTGGATAGTTTAATCTTCTTCCACAGAAAGGAAGTTCCTAAGTCTGGGAAGGAAAAAAATAAAAGGTGTATCGTTGCTATGAACTAAATCATAGAAAAAAAAAACTGTCCCAGATTTTAGAATTCTGAATAGCAGCCTAATACTGTAAATTTATTGAGAAGAAAATCATTTTGCAAAACTGGAATACAATTGATTTATCAAGAACTTTTTAGCATTTAAAAATCATTTAATAACAGGCCTGACCATAAAATAGTGGCACAACAGAAACGCAGGTTGCAAATGTGACGTGGAATGCATAGAACCTCCGGGGCGGACCAGCCACAGTAAATACAACAGTCATAATCATGGGTGGAAATTCATTTTCATAACTGGCTTTCTCTTCTAGAAGGTAAGAGGGTGTATATAAATATTATAGAGAAAACATTTAAAAAACACTGGTTTATTGTTCAGAAATGCTGGAAGGGGTTTCAGCTCAGTCAAAAATGAGTAGGTTTGTTGGGCCAAAACTGCCCTTTCTGGTTCCTAAAGTTTCCTATGCTTGTTATGAAAAAAACAACATTAATGATTAGGTGGTAGAAAATGGTGAAAAACATCAACTAAGGAGCTAATTCTCAACAGACAGAGGACATGGTGTTTCAAAACACAGTGCTTAACAGCATTAACCTTGCGGAAGTAATGCTAGGAAGAATTTCCATCATTTCTGCTACCTTGAAAAAAAAATAAAAATTAATCCCATTAGCCACAAACCCCCAGTTCATCACCAAGCAGAACAGTAAAATTCGACATCCGCCTGTGAGGATCTCTGGATGTATAAGATTGGTGGGATTTAATTTAAAAAGCAGCACAGAAGAGTAGGAATTTTAAGGAAAAGAGGACTTACAGTACATTGCCTTGGGCCTCTGTCTTCATTGAAGGTGGTAACAAGTTCCTAGATTGCATAATGCTGCTATATTTACTTTTAGTTGAAGAGAAATACAAACCTGAAAAAATAACAGCTACTCACTGGTTAAAACGGATACATTTGGCATTCCAGCCCACCATCCTGCACTAACTTGTCATTTCCCCCTCCTTGCCTCCCAGGATTATGAAACAGTGACATGCCTACGATTCAAAGTTTCCTATGCTACAACTGCAGAACTCAGATTTGCCAAGAGTATGACTACGACCCCCAGAAATCATCCCATAATTTTACGCACATTACATTTATGGGATAGAGCTCCACATGGTACATACAGTGCTATCAGCATTTTCTTAACAATGCGACTGAAACACCATTGTCTCATCCAAACTTCTCTTCTCACTCTTACAATCAACCAGTCAGAAACACCACATTTATGATCTCACTTAATTCCCCTCTCCTAACAACTCCAGGAATTCCAAAAAGCCATCTGAAGAGCAGCGTTTGATTTGATATGATCCCTGACTTAAAATCCTACCATGAAAACCCTCTGACGGAAAGAGAAAAGATGCTTGGCTGACTTGAGACACTTGATTTCCTCTGTTGTAAGTTCTCTCATTCTCGTGTTCCTCTCGTGTTCCCACATGCCAGGGACTCCCTTTCTAACCCATCTCATATCTCCCTCTAACTGGACTAAAGAAAACCTGTGGAGCAGGAATACGGCATCCCAAGGTCCTCATCCAAAAAGCTTAATAAGAGAAACTGTGAAAAGGGAAATGTAAGGGGGGGAAGGGGAAAAAAAAAAAAAAGCCCTACCAAAATAAATTACGTAAAGTTCTGAAATCAATATCACTTTTGAGGCAACCTTTCCAGAGACCTCTTGGGTTCCTTTCTTCTCTGAAGCACCTTTTAAGTTGCATGGTTGTAAGAATAACTTTAACTATAGAAGCTATATGCATCTTTTAAGAATCACATTTTGATGATTATAAAAATTTATCTATTATACAACATAGGTCCAGCTACACTGAAAAAATTACACCGCTTATTGAAATACATTTCATTTTAGAAACAGACTACTAAATAGGTCTATACAAAAAACTCTAAAATAATTTCTGTAGTAAAATAAAGAGTGTGTTAGGAGAGCTACACAAACAAGAAATTTTTTTGTCTTTCTTTATAATGCTCAAATATACTGTGATACGTGGCTGGCTCACTCCATAGCCGGCACCAAAAGCTGAAAAGAATCCATTACGATACACAGTGATACAATTAATGCTCTGTATTAATCTCACAGCCTTTCCGATTAGTACAAAGAAAACCAGGCCCATCTCCTCTTTGAGGAGAAGTCCAGGATATAAAAGCAAGCATACCTCATCAGCTGATATGAAATTATAAAATTCCACAAGTCTCAGTATCTGAAATTTATAAAAGTCACCAGGAAAACGCAAGCAAATTGAGTTTAAGTCCTGTTGGTTCCCAGGTTCAAAGGAGCACTGCTGATCCCAAACAGGATTTCCGTGTTTAACTGATTCGAGGGAAAAAAATCAGGACCATCTGCTGGGGCTAAGAGAAGGACGAAGATCCTCACCAACTAACCCTCTGTACTTCCACGAGGGCATGTTTCCATGTGCATAAAATGGGAAAACAGCTGGCAGGAAGCAAAGATGTTAGTGGTGCTGTGCTGAACTGTTTTTTTCTGCCAGGTGTCGCAGAAAGTTGTCCTCACTCTGGCCTCGGTGATTTAAAGGCTCACTCTTAAAAAGAGCTGGAGGAGGGGGTAAATGAGGAACCGGGGGGACCGGGAGGTGATGCGGATGGTGAGGATGAGGGTGTAGGTGAAGGTGTGAATATGGGTGAGGAATGGGGCGTGGAGGAAGCGTGCTCACTGGGTTCAGGTTGATAGGTGGAGTTGGGGTGGTGGGTGCGTTCACTACAGCAGGGACTGTGGTGGCGGGAGAAGTGGCGGACAGCGGGATCTGGACAGCAGTTGACACGTTGACGGGGCTGGTCACACGGAAGCACTTCTCCTTGTGTGCCTTGAGCATGTTGGAGAAGCGGAATCGCTGGCCACACACGTCGCATGGGTAGGGCTTCTCCCCCGTGTGAGTTCTGCGATGTCTCTTCATGTTTGGGCGGCTGGTGAAGCTTTTCCCACAGATTTCACAGATAAAAGGCTTCTCTCCTGCCGGCCAAAGGTACAGCAATCAGGCACAGAACATCTGCTCATACTTACTTCGGCACACTTATGCAAACACACCGCATCCTACAAAAGCTACGGTGACTGCCACCTTCAGCAAATAAAGAGGCAGCTGTTCCACAGAAGTCCTCAGCCTTTAACAAAATCCTCTCTCACCTTCGGATTTCGATGTACGAGAATCTTTTACAAGGCTTTGGCAAGGGGCTCCTTCAGACCAAAGTAACAAGGGAGTAAGCCTAACCTCTCATTCTACCCCACAGTGAATCACAGGACTACAGTCAGTTTAATTTAACAGTAAATGTAGTAACCCTTCCTGTCTCATTTTCTAGGCTGGATAATGGTTTTGATCCCAAATTCCAGGAAAGGGAATAGAGTTGGTAGCGCATAGGAAAGTTTTTGCCCTGGAGGTACCTGTGCTTTTCTTTGACAGGTTCTTACCAGTGTGTGTTTTCATGTGCTCATCAAAGTACTGTTTCATGTTGAAGTCTTTGCCACACCACTGGCACATGAACTGTTTGTGCCCGATGTGGATGCTCATGTGGGAACGCAGCTGGTACTTGTACTGAAACCTCTCATCACAGTTCTGCAACGGAAAAACAGCAACCCATGATACTCAGGCATCACACATCAGGAAGCAAGGCAGTCATGGGACAGCACTCAAACGTCCTATGTGGAGGAGTAAAGAATACCTGAACTAGTAGCACACATACCGACCCTCACACAAACGCAGAATTTAAATTATTTAGCAAGAGTAGAATTTGGTCTGTACTAAAAGGTCTGCTGGCACAGGTGCCTTGGCAAGGAGCGTGGAACAGCCACAACCTTCAGTTGACACAGCTGTTGGCAAAAGCCCACCAGAGACACGGTTACGCCAACAGAAAAGTGCTTCTGTTGGCTTAAGGTATCATTTGGAGGTTTTGCAGCTCTGCCAGTGATCTCTGCGAACTACGGCCTTGCCTCCACTAGAGGACTCTGCTCACACAGCAAAGCCAACAGCAGCTCCCTACAGCAGGCTTGTTTTCCAGCTATTTACTGGTATGAGGTAATTTCTTCCCCTACCAGTCTTATCCCCAAGACTACTCCAGCTGCACTACCACCATTACTACTACGTGTCTGGCTGGAGTTGTGCCCCACGTTGCGGACAGGGTGAGCCACCAGACGTGCCCTGGAAACAGGCAGGGCTCTCTGCACCCCCTCTGCTCCATCGTGTGACACCCACAAGCATCCCCATCAGATGACTGAGACATTATCTGTCCCAGACACATGACTGGGTAAGTCTGTCCCACAAGGTCTCCTTCCCAAGGGCAGGCAGAAAATTACAATCACAAACATGAGTGCACCAGTGAGATACTCTCCCCCATCCCAACACACACACTCAGTTTAAGAAGTGCAAATTCAGAGCACTGCCTTAGCTCTCACGGAGGTAACAGGTTGCAGAGAGGACAATAGTTTTTCCCAGAAGCAGTAATTTGTTTATTTTCACTGTGGCCACTTGTACCTGTTTCAAGTTACTGCGGCAGATTAACACAATTTGCATCAGGCTTTGCTAGGAACACGGATGGAAAACTAGGATTGGAATCCTGCTGTAGTGTGCACGAAAAACACGACAGCCAGCAGTAAAGGCAAATCAAACACATCTCGGTTGGAACTGCTGCCAGATGTGCTCCTGCTGTGCTCTCCACACGGAGAAGAATTTTCCCCCAATTTTTATGGAACTGCACCTCATCACAAGTCAGTCATTCAGCTGCCACCTACATTCCCTACTGACAGCGTCACTAGTTTCACACTTTATGCTGCTGTATCTAAACACATGAAGAGTTGCTGCCTCACCTCACATCTGAAAGGTTTCTCTCCAGAGTGCTGTAGGGAATGTACTTTGAGAGACATACTGCGTTTGAACGATTTTCCACAGGTTTCACATGTAAATGGCATGTCCTTTGTGTGTGCTGCAACACAACAGTATATTAGAGGGTCATTCAAGTGCCAACAGTTCTTTAATTTTTTTCCTCCAACTCTGAGCAGTAACATGATTACTACTGAACACCTTGTACGTATACACACGTATGTACACACACACGTATTTTGCTTGCTGCCCAGGAGTACGGACTTGAACATTTTTGCTAAGAATAAAGCTCAGACAACTGACTTTGTCTTACTACTTTTCTCCTCAAAACAGCAATTATAAGTCAAGAACCACAAAGACACATTATGAGGCAGAACCAACAGAAGTGCTGATCAATAACTCACCAACCATATGTTTCCGCACGTGGGCCATGGTGTAGAACTTTTTTTCGCAAATCTCACAAGAGAATTTCTTTTCTGCATATCCATGGACAATCTTGATATGTTCATGGAGGGACCAGAGCTTCTTGAATGATTTATTACAGGAAACGCACTGAATGAATGGGATAAACAGAAATAAGTTTAAATTAGAAAGATTCAGTGGTTCAAGTTTGTGGAGTCAAGCCACGTATCTTCCTCTTGCAGGACAAGGAAGCCCAAAACGAGTCAAAATGCTGTATGCTGTCTCAAACTGTACTTCTGCTTATCACATTTACTGTTTCACACTTGAAACAATGACACTACGAAACATCAGACCAAGCAGGATTGGAGGACCTCACCACACTGCATTGTGGTGCCACCTGAAGAGCACCACAGCCACTGCACTAACTTAAATTCAAAACACAACAGCAGATACAGCTGGATGCAGCCCTCAAGGAGCTAACGAGAAGACACTTCACAGGCACTGAGGCTGCTGGTGTGGGAAGAAGCCAACAAAGGTGGAGGAGGCCAACACCACCAAGTTGCCTTAAACCCATCTGCACATCCAGCCCTGTCTTTCCCAGGAGCACCGTGAGCCCTCAAACTCCAGGTCTAACAGCCCGTGAACTAGTCAAAACTCTTTCATCCTTTTAGCTCTCCACAGAAGACAGCTTCCATCTTGCAGCTCCTGACCAAGTGGAGACTCTGGTGCACAGTTCATACAGCGAAGCAAGCTGTCACCTCTGTCTTTTGTGTTTCGACTCTTCACGTACACGTCTCAGCAGCACTATGGGTCTCAGATGACCGTACGCAAACAATGTTTTCATCTCCTCCCACAGCTACTGTGAAATGTTCAGAAAGTCGGCGATGAGCAGGATCCAAAGGCTTTTTCGTGCATCTCTTTTTCCCCAATAGAGTTAGCTCTTGCTAAAGACTTGATAAAAATCTTGGTACAAACTTGGAAAATTCCAGAATCGTTTTAATTGTGAAACCTGATAGCAGACACATATGTGAGGATACCAAGTAATCTGAAGTGAAGAGGAAGGAACTGTGGCTCGTTATTTTGTCTTAGTTGCTGAGGTGTTTGGAGTTTTTGGTACAATCTCTGTTTTTCTGCCCAGTTACGCTCCTTCCCCCAAAAGAGGGAGGGCTGGGTGCTGTTTGCTGCAGAACTACCAAATACTTCTGCCAGCCTGGGTTGTTTCTTCTCTGCACAGAGAACAAGCTATGGTGCTTCCACAGCGCTCCCATCTCTGCAGGCCTGGAAACTCCGACACTCCGCTCGCCACGCTGACTCCAAGGAGAGCCTCTGCCTCCAGAAGTACCTCCTTGGAGGCATGTCAGGAACTAACTGTAGTCTTTGGAGAAAAACGCTAGGAAATGATCAAAAATCCTTTGATTTAAGGTTAAGTAAGTCCTTGAAGCCATCAGTCTACAGTTTAATTGACGATCAGCAGTCACTAATACTGAGACCTACTACAACCGAGAGTCTAAGATGACAACAGAAATTCTGTGAAAGTGCCAATTTTGAAAGGATGAAAACCAGAAATTACCTGGAAAAACAGATATATTCCATCACTTATATGAAAAATACAGGAGCCAGCCATGTTTATCAGTTCAATTATCACGTTCATAATGACACCATTTTTTTTTCCCAGACAAAGCTCCATATCCCTCTTGACATATTAAACCCTACATTAATGTAAAACTTTCGTATCCCCTTACTCCTTTTGCCAAGTGGAATAAAAACAAATTAGCAGGCAGCTGTGAAACACATTCCAAATGTCAGGGCAGACAAAAATAATTGTTGAATACATGCTTATACGGAGAACTTGAAGATGACTAGCAGTGCTTCTGGCACTGGAAATATTTGGGAAAGTTTCTGGACCTGATTCTTCTGGTACTGGATATAAAACACAACTTCTACAATTTCTTCTTGTTCTATCACTTTTGGACATCGGAATGTACCCCCTCAGAAGCATATGGGTGCATGGATTACAGGATGCTTCTCCATTCTATACCACACACAAACTATTCATGAATTCCTGTTTAAAGCCAAAAGATTTTATGCCATGAATGAGCCACCTGGATGACAAGGCATTCCTTAAATTTCCATTTAAATGCTTTTCGCTACACTAAACTCCTCAAGTATTTATTTCAAAAACTACGAGGACACACTGAAACGTTTATGCATTTTACTAACTATGCTCAAGGCTCATTATACAATACTCCTTCCTTCAGTCTTCCTCCTATGAGCTGAAACATAAGGAAAAATAGCACAGTGTTATACAAAGCTGCATTTGAGACTTACAGCAAAGAAAAATTGCAATAAATATTTCAACTGTCTCTGACACAGTAAGAATTGAATACCAATTCAGTTTAGCATTTAAGCAAACAAACAAACGAGAAATCTTTACTGGTAAAACCCACCGGACAGACAAAAAACACTTCTTGCCCTACAAGCTCTCAACATTTCGGCTCTGCAGAAACTGAACTCAAGCTGCTTCATGCTGGCAGTGGGATTATTTCAGAAATAGGTGGCAACACTGTGCCTAGTTTAACGAGGCAAAAAAAGCACGTTCGAACCGCCAGATAAAACAACAGTGCCCCCAGTTACATGAGAACACAGATGCCTACGAGCAAAGTACAAACCACAGATGAATTCAGAAACTCTGAAACTCTTTCCACGACTTAAACTTTAAAATGGTTCTATTACAACACAGGCTTCCATTGTTGTGCAAAATTAAAAGCTGCAAATCTTCTGGTGGGAAAGACCAGAGATCTTCGTATTATCACTGAGGTTTACTGAGCTTTTGGCACTGGGAACAGGGCAGGCTCGTCAACAGATTTACTTGCTGAGTTCATACGCTTCCATACACATACACGAACACTGCTGTGAATTACTTGTACATCATTATCCCAGTAGGATTTTTAAAAGTCACATTTTAACGCAAGTTCAAACCCTGACTTCACTAGTTTCTCTCTCACCTGCTTGCCTCTCCGGTATTTTACAAATTTCTGATTCCAATACCAGCAAAGTGCCAAAATTCCGTTCTGCCTTGAAACCTTCCCTGGACATACTCTGTGCCCGAGTCTCAGGACACCGAAAACACTTTGAGCTTTAAAGCCAGCGACAGCTGCAGGTGCTCAGCACCTGGAGAAGGAGGGTTTATCCTGTCAAAGAACTTCACTGCAAACGCGCTTGTTTTCAGGTCAGTTACTCTGGAGTCTGACATCTGTTAAAGTAGCTTTGTGCCTTCCCCAACTCGTGGTTAAATACTAGAGTAACTCTGCTACAGCAGATGTCAGTTGGACACTCTGTTCCCTGCAATTTACTTCTTTCGGGAGACACCCAAGTGTGGATACGTAGAGACAAGCTCTCGGTCAGAACCTGGTCTGCGCAAAAGATTTCCCCCTCTGAAGTGTCCGCTAGCTGTATCCAGGGCACGACAGAAGGTATGGAAATCTGGCAAGCAGGTGAGCAAACCTACCTGGATATTTTTTTCACAGTCTGTTTGCTGGTGAAGGGACAGCTCACTTTCTAGAACAAATTTCTTCCCACATTTGTCGCAGATCTGCATGCGCCTGTGAGTGACGTTCATGTGCTTCTCCAGGTACCAGCGTGTGTTAAACACCCTGGGGCACTTCTCACAGGTTAAAGTCTCCTTCTCTTCACACTTTGATTTCTGCACAGGTGCCTTGGGCTCCTTTGCAGCTTTCTTCTTACGCTTGGGGGGCTCCACAACCCCTTGTAGTTCTGGGTGATGGGGAAGTTGTGGCTGCTGCAGCAGATGCAGCTCTCCTTGTTCTCCTTTGTGCAACACTAACTTTTTCCACTCTTTTCTCTTTTTTCTTCTGCCTCTCATTTTCCTCATAATCATTACTGTCTTCAGTGGCCTCTTCCCCACTGTCACCCTCCTCTTCCTCACTGCTGGTCTTAAGAACAGCAGTCTCTTTGGACTGGGAGGGGAAGTTGTGGCTGCTGCAGCAGATGCAGCTCTCCTTGTTCTCCTTTGTGCAACACTAACTTTTTCCACTCTTTTCTCTTTTTTCTTCTGCCTCTCATTTTCCTCATAATCATTACTGTCTTCAGTGGCCTCTTCCCCACTGTCACCCTCCTCTTCCTCACTGCTGGTCTTAAGAACAGCAGTCTCTTTGGACTGGGAGGGGACACCCTTCTCCCCTTTTGATACATTTAATGTTTGGTTGTTAAGGTTTACCTCTACTATAATCTGCTCCCTTTTGTAAGTCACTTCATCTTCCTCCTCTTCTTCCTCCTCAGAGTCGTCAGAGTTTTCTCTATCTTCTTTCACAGCCCGGACCTCTCCTACCGATCTGTTCTCCCTGAAATATGGCTGCTCCTCTCTTTCATGGAGATGTGGTTTACTCATTTTGCTGTCCACCAACACAGAGTAAGGACTTCCTGACTCTCTCTTGTACACTTTGGTGGACAGATCAAGTTCCTGGCTGGCACCATGATAAAACGTGGGTGGCACTTGACCACGGCGACTGTCCTCTTGTGCCATCCCTGCTACATGCGTGGCACAGTTTTCAACCAACTGTTGGCAAGAATTGGCTGTTTGACTCATTTGGGGGGCCCTGATTCATTGAGCACCTTTAATCCCAGAAAACCAAGTAAGCAGCTTTAAATCAGGATGGACTCTCAAGACTGACGCCTGTTCCATCTACACAGAATGAACAAAATAGGATTCTCTGCTGGTGTTTAGCACTGATGTGTAGATCACAGAATTCTGGTTTTATGGCAAGAGCAGAGCAGTAGTAATTAGTCTTCTGAAGAAAGTTGCCAACGAACCGTTGAACATTTTATCTATAAAAGACAACAGAGAAAACAAAGTCAATTAAAAAAATAACCACAAAAATCTTCATCAAAATCTTCTGGTTTAAGTTTGTACAATTGAGGTAAAGCACAGGGTGTACTATCTATGAGCTGTATCTGCTGGGGTGGAGTGTCCTGTAGCACCACCTCACGCAACACTGGTAGTTAGGTACAAACACGTGCACCTTTTGTGAGGACCGGAACTGGGACTAGACTCCTGAGACATGGAAATCAAGGCATGCTATTTATTTCAAAACGAGTATTCTCCACCTGCCAAATACCACTGCCACCCGCCTCAAAGCTGGGCCAAGATGGTGATCTGCGTTTCTCCTGGACTCTCCGGAGCACCGATGGCCCCACGACTCTGCTCTACTCCCACACGCCTCTCCATCAAACAAGGTGCCTACCTACAGAGAAACACCTCTTCTCCTCCTGCATCTCCCAAAGGGAGCCCATCCTTACCCAGAATGAGGACATATACTGAACAACATTCCGTTAATTCAGATACACACAAAGAATTTCGGTGGAGACATTTTCAACCTGCAGCACTAAATCAGATTAAGAACACCGTGTCCCCTGCTTGTTTCCACCTCAGAGATCCCTCATTCAGTCTCTTGATTTAAGGCACTTATTCTTTTGTCTCATTCTCCCTTCCCCCAGCTACTTACTCCTCAGTGCAGCAGCCAAACAATACTACATTTACCCATCTAAATTTCACTTGCAGTTATCCAAGTTGGAATTTGACCAGGACACTATTACTTCCTCTTGGAAAAAAAAAAAAAAAAAAAAAAAGCCACGTGATCCCTAATGAATACAAGTAATCAAGCTCTCGCATCTATTTTTCACCAGGACAATTACATTTTGGTAGCACAGTACTGCAACATCAAGCCAAGATTTTTGGCTGTGCAGATCAGAATTACACTGGAACTCCGGACCAAACAGCATCCTCAGAGCTAAACCTGTGACTAGAGGGTACAGAAGCGGAGAATTAAGGACAGAGCCTAAGTGACATCCTGTGACTGGTGGACAGAGAAGGGTCCTAACAGAGAATGGATGGATCAAGCAGCTAAACATGAAAAAAAACAAGATCCTCACTACCAGAGTCCGAAAATTTCCTTGAGGCGATAGACTTGGGCTAAGTCCAGCAGACAGGTATAAAACACTTGGATTTCGCAGAATCGTACGACCATTTTTATTAGTAGTATTCTTGGAGCAACAATAAAACTCACCAACCTACAGCAGTATGACAGACATGGATTTTTAGGATATATTTCCTTCCTCATTGTAGCAAGTTAAAATCCTCTCCACACTATAGATGCAGTAACTTCCATCCAAACTTCCACCCATGTTTTGATACACTTTATATATTAAAGTTTCTATGTTACTTTTCCACCAGAAATTCCCCCCTTTGAAGTGAATTTAATTGAACAGATGAACCTACCAATGATCTCAGCGGTTTGAATAATCAAAAAGACTGAACCTTGCTCTATAATCTTCGTGAAGTGACACACTGGGGGAAGCGATGGACCAATAACCAGTCATCTGATTATCAGCTTCAAGTTAATTAATCAGATTCTCGAATGGTTCTCCAATACTTCCAAATGCACTCAAAAAGCGCCCTGAAGATGCCTGATGGAGTGACCTGCAGACAGACTCACAGCACCACAACAGCAACGTCTATTC